TACCAATGTGCGGACGATCCAGTGGTAATTTGTAACTGAATGCAGCATGAATCGCGAAACCTGATATTAATCATCACAAATACATTAAATCAAATTAAAGGTGGTGACTGGTGAGAGGGAAGAGGTGTGATATAAACCTGATATGATTGATTATATGAATCACAAATACATAACTCAAATTAATAACACATTTGCTCTTTCAAAAATTTAATTTCCATTATAAATTTTAGATGATTATTAATAAATATTGAGACCCACAGGCCAGGCAAGTACCTGAGAATTCTTCCTAATTTAAACTAAAAAAATTTTTTGGTTAAAACAAATCATGCAAAAGTCTTCAAAACTTTTTTTATCTAACCAAATTATAGATGATTATTAATAAATGAGACGGAGACCTAAGAAGGGTTGACGGGTACTTAAGTTAATTTTTATTTGTTAAAATAAAATCATGAAAAATAACTTATTTTCTAAAAAAAAATCCTATTAACTACATTAGGATTAAAAAACTTTTCTAATCCCTTTAATGTTATTTTAGTATGCTGACGTGGAATATTCATATTGGCTAGTATAATCCTATGTTAATATTATGTGTTTTTACTTAATTAAGTCTTTAGACCCTAGACAACTTGATCAAAGAACTTCCAAATTTTGATTTGGTAGGTTTTCCATCATTTATTAATTTTAAATTTGGTGTTTTTTATTATAAGAAAGATATATTGGTTATTAACTCATTTTTAATTTTTTTTGTCAAATTGTTCTTTTAATAAATTTTGTCAAAAATATGCTAACTTTCCACAACCCAAAACTTATGGTTGTAGGTATTTTTAATTTACGTTTGTACAACCCAAAAATATATACAAAGAAACATGAAAATAGTTGTAGACTTGAAAAACTATGTGTAAAGCAGGATTGTTGTGGAGTTAGAGCTGTAGACCAAAATATGGGTTTGGAAAGACTCCAATGCCACATAATAATATGTTTGATCTACCAATATTCTATTTTCATCATAAGTTATAGATGTTAAATATAAAATGAGATCATTTCCTCAAAGCTAAGAAATTACCTAATCTAATTTTAGAATAATTTTTATTTTTGTTAAAAGAAAATCATGACAAATTTTTCTAAGTGTTAAACTTTTTGCTATGAACAACACTACTTTAGAACTTCCTAGTCTAACCGTCGATTTTTTGAGAATGTTGATGCGAAATGATATTATTAGTTGTATATAATCATAAGTGAACAATTTGAGAGGCAAATAGCTTCAACTTTTAGATAAATAAATCTCTATTGTTTTTATGTTACCAATCGGACTTGACTTTCTATTAAAAAGAACAATTAAGTTATCCATATATCTAAGTCTTTTGTGGAAGCCTTCTAACACAATGGACAAGGTTCAAAGGTTTTCGTGCAAATTATTGGATGCAAAATTTATCGAAGGTCCTAGAGTGATGCATTTATGATGGTCCATCTCAAGGATGTCATACATGCAGAACCAACATCGATCGTAGATCCAAATGTAAGGGAGAGCTGCATGATAGAATTGTTGTTCGTGGAAACTATTAATCTTAATCACATACGCTATAAATAGATAAAAATTATAATAATAGTATTAAGTTAAATATCTTTGATGATAATATAATAGACGCAAATAAAAGTATTAGAAAGAAAAATATGATGCAAAAAGGAGAACAAATGTTTTTTTTTTCATTTAAAGGAGAACAAATATTAATAAAATATATATTGATAAATTTATCACTTTTCGAAAATATAGAAGTTAAATTGAAATATCCATCAATATAGTGGGAGGACCTCAAATTAAATGAGAGTAACAACCAACTACTCCTTTCTTTTATAGTCTCACATCCACATTTCTTTAGATACAATTTCTTCTCTATATAAACTCTTCATCACCCATCTCCTTTTGGAAACATACAAAAAAACCCGAACTAGCTTATAGATATATATGGCTGGTCTTATGAAGTTGGAATGCTTGGTCTTCATCTACATGATTGCGGCGGGTCCAATCACAGCAAAGGCGGCTCTGAGCTGTGGCGAAGTTAACAGCAATTTGAAACCGTGCACTGGCTACTTGACCAACGGTGCTATCACTAGCCCAAGCCCACAGTGCTGCAACGGCGTTAGAAAGCTTAACGGTCCTTACAACCCTAGACCGTCGGCAAGCTTGCCGTTGCATTAAAAATGCCGCTAGAGCCGTTGGCCCTGCTCTCAATGCTGACCGTGCTGCTGCGATTCCTAGGAGATGTGGAGTCAAAATACCTTACAATACCCAAATCAGGACTACCACCAGGTGCAACACGTATGTTAATCTCTTTCTCATATATATAATTAAAGAGGTTCAAGAAATTAGGAAAATGTGGGTACTTAAGTAAACAGGGACTCATCAAATTATTTGACTAAGGACAAAATTTTGCCAAAAAAAGAATATGCAAAAGGAAGTATCGAAGCCCTAACTCATAAAATTGGAAACTTGTATTAACGGTGTTATGTTTAATTGTATGTGGCTGCAGCGTGAGGTGAGAGGCGGTCAGATGAAGCTACTAGCGGATATATTTTTGTTCAGAAATTCGTTAGGCACTAATCAGAAGGGAAATAAAATGGCCCAGTATTGGACCAATTAATTGGACATAAATCGGACAGTACTCAAGGATTAGTTATTTCTATAAATTTTACCTAAATACATGTTTATATAATATTTGTAAGAAATCATATGTCAATGAAATTACATGGTCTGGTGGTTAAATTTAATGGGTAATTTTCAGCTTCAAGTCGAGAGTTTGGGTTTATTCGGAACTATTTTTACTCGTTTTAACGACTTAGATTTAATGAGTGATAAAATGACTTTTTGCCTTTGACTTCTTAGCTCGCTCTAAAGATAAATGACATTTTTTCCTTGTTGTCCTCTTGAAGACCACGATCTAAATTTACTGACACATAGTGGATACAACCACGAATAAAGTTTAGGATCATTAGTGTGAACAAAATATAAAAGAAGGTTTCTACTTAAGGAAAAAAAGTATTATACAAAGGGGGAGACTTTATTTATTAAGAGCACGCAATGGATTAAAAAAAGTCAAAACACTCTTAAATTCTTTCTCACTCACTTATCTTAGTTCTAACATTACAATATTACATCAAGCTTAGGTATTTATAGCACAAATCTTAGAGAATATTACCTAAAATCATGATCATCCAATCTACAGAGTCGAAGGTAAAAAGTATAAAATCAAAAGATATATTCAAGGACAAAAAATCTATGGAACGGAAGTATCCTCTGACAGTGAAGAAGACGACAATAGATAAGGCAAACATCACTTCTCTTTTTGAAACAAGAGGAATAATATCAAAGATATTTTAAGATAAAACAATAAAAATAATATGAGATTAAGAGTGTATTGAATAAAGTTATGGTTATGGGTATGTAGAATAAAGTTGTGGTTGTGAAATAAGTTTGTAAAATATTTAGGTAATATTCCCTAGGCCTTGTTCTATAAATACCTAAGCTTGGTAAAGTGTTAAAACCAAACTAAGTGAGTGAGAAAAAAACCTAAGAGAGTTTGAAAGTTTTTGTAATCTTTTTGAGTGTTTTTGATAAGTAAAATCTTCCCCTTTTTATAAGAAAGTACATTCTTTTTTTGGGCCGATTGGAAGGAGTTGTAGATGCTGTAGAAAAACAATTTTTATTTCCATAGACATATAGTAATTCAATCACTCGTTGACTTAAAAAAACAAGCTATAGGCAACAAAAAAGAAAAGAAAATATATATGGACTGTTGAAATCAAATTTTCTACGGCACAAATATATTATCCTGGAGTATACCGCGGGTCATATCCTAATTATAAATAAATAAAATGGGATTTCTGTGATTGGTTCAAAAACAAAGGAAAAAAAACCAAATCAATGACCATCAGTGAGGAGATTTAGACAGCTAGACTATTAGTTTGTAATTTAAAAAATTTATTGTCATGACATGAATTTGGATTAGTTAGGTTGTCAATCCAATCATGTGGACTCCTTGATCAAGGAAGCAGCATCGCCACTGAAGTCGGCGATATATGAGGCAAAGAATCAATTAATTGATAATATATAAATGTGGTGGAAATTTCAGAAGAAGATCGAGATAAGATTAAACGACTTTTTACTCAATGCATCCAGCGTGAAGAAGACTTCGTAGAAAGACTAGTCAAGCTGATTGAGTTTCTCTTTGTTATGTATAGAAAGAGATGAACATGAAACCAAGTTACGTACTAACTTGCAAAAGTCGTGATGGAATTGTATATAGTCAGAATGTTCTAACCGAGTTTATGTGATATGCAAGTCATATTTTATAATACGATTGTAGAATATTTATGAGCTCCCACTATTTTCAAACCACATCTCGTTCTTAGGTCAAGGAAGTTTGAGGCAATAACAGGTCTATGATGTTTTTAGATGTTCTGGGCCGTACACGCGCTACACTGATGTAAAATGAGTTCACACCTTAATCGACACGTCCGAGTAATCTTTGAAATTTCTTCGTAATGGGGATGGATCATTATAATTAATGTTCTTCAACGAGTAATTCCTAGTAAGCATGAGTCATCAAATCGCTTTGATTACATCCTTGCCTTTTGTATACACCGCCCATCTCTCCTACCGATTGAATGATGTGTTGAAGTGTTTAGATCGCGGTAACGTGGGTGGTTCACCACCCGCAACGTCGCGAAAAGTCCACTAAACCTTATCATTTAAATGAAGGGGAAGTTGTAACAAGGTTTTTGTAGGTGGGCTGGTTTCTTAGCCGATATCGTGCCCATCTAATCCGTTGTTTCGCATAACATCCCGGTCGGGAACTCTATCTCGGTCTGGTCGAGCGCGTAGTTTTTGATATTACAAAATCCTGATAAAAAAGTGTCAAAAAACAGGCAAACGAATGGCCGGCATTCGCCTCTCCGGAAACTCTGTGTGCGCAGATGTTGTGTTGCGATCTAAAGTCTAAAACTACTCGTGGCAACTGATATCTCGGCTCTCGTACCAATGAAGAACGTAGCGAAATGTGATATTTGGTGTGTATTGCAGAATCCCTTGAACCATCGATCGAGTCTTTGAACATAAATTACACCCAAGCCTTCTGGCAAAGGGCTGTTGGGTGTCACAAATCACTGTCCCCCATCATCCTTTGTGGATGCGGGATAGAAGCTGGTCTCCCTTGTATTACCGCACGTGGTTGACCAAAATCTAAGGCAAGGAAGTTTGAAGCGTTCCCACATGAGGTGGTGAACTTGGTCCATTTTCTTAACAAGGTTTTATATCTAAATGTTTTTAAAGATAAAAATCGTCATGATTTATTTCTGAATCAATTACGGATTTGTCATTTTTAATGGTATTTATGAATTTTGCCATTTTTGAATAGTTTGTGAATTTTGCCCTTTCTCAGACTAAAAAAATGTGATTTAACATGCGTTTTACCCGTTATGTTTGGGTTTAGTCAGTTTCATTTTTTTCTTAAGATTTAGTATTTGGTATAAAGTACATATTTTTGTAAAAAATCGTAAATACGTACATTTTTAAATATTAAAAATAGCAAATCCGTAAGATTTTAGTAAAAATGGCATTTTAAAATTTTTTTGATGAAAAATAGCAAAATCAACAATAATCCCTTTAATTCTAGGTCAGGGTGTTTCAAGTTAATATAAAAGTAGGCTGGACAGAGACGTCCTGGAAGATGAGTTTATTATAATGGATAACTTGGCAAAATTTTGAATATGTGAAAGATCTAATAATAGCCTAGATATCCAGCTAAGTGATTGTTTGTTGGACACATCGATATATTTTTTCTCTTGACTGTGTTAAGTAAACTCGGGCCATGGATTTTTGCGCAGTAGTTAATAATACAAGAAAGATATGGATAGTAGTTTGGGCTGCCGGTAGGAATCCAGATGTACTATATAAGTTCAATTAGGATCATCCTCTACTTTTTACATCTACCCAATTTACTATGTACTCTAAGTTCAGTTAGGATCATCCAGATGTACTATATTTGTAATCCATTAGTATTTTCTGGTAAAAAAAAAAAAAGAATAATGGATTACAAAACTGGTGTAGAACATTCCAGAAGAAGAAAAAGAGTATCTTCAACTTTGAAGAAGATGTAGAATAGTAGCTTGGATAGGAAGCAAACTTATTATGCCCTAAAGTATACATCATTGAACATTACTTCTTTTTTTACTTGCCTAAGAAATATGGCCAAAAAACAAAACTTTAGAACCTTAATTTTTTGTAAAGATAATTTTTTAAAAATGAAGAGATGAGCATAGTATTTATATATTGACTGATTCAAAGCTGCAACTTTATTTGCATTATCTAAAAAGAAGTTAAGGTTAAGACCCAAATTAATCTACGATATTACATTATTACTCTTTCAGTCTTGAACAGTTTCATTGGCTCATCTGGATGTAAAGTCAATAAAGGATATATAAAACCACTAAATTCAACAAAAACGATATTATCCAGACAAAAATAAATTGATAATAATATCTATCCCTGTCTTGTTTTAATGCTACAACGACCTTTGGATTAAAAAAATGTGGTGGAGATTTCTAATGGCTCTTTAATGTCGTGAAAACATAAAATTTGGATCATTACCTACAAAGTCCACACACCAGTTTTCCGTTTTTGTTTCATCCTCTTTTAGTAGCTGGTTTGGCCTCAATGAATAAAAATGGTGGAGACTTTTACACAATGCGTCCAACGTGAAGATGACTTGGTAGAAAGACTGGTTTATCTCTATTCTGTATATAAAGACATGAATATGAAACCATATTATCATCACAATTTCCATTTCTTGCTTTTTCATTATTGATATTCAAGAAAGTAAGAAAAAAAAAAACACTTAGAAAAAAAAAGATGAAAGGCTCTATTACTCTTTCTTTTCTCATCATTTTTATTTTTAATTTTCTTGATGTGTTTGCGGCTCCTACTAGACACTTGTGTAATCGTGATCAAAGGGATGCAATTCTCGAGTTCAAGAACGAGTTTGAAACTTTGGAGGCCTCTTGTTTTGACAACATTCCTCCAAAGACGGAATCATGGACGAATAGCAGCGATTGTTGTTATTGGGACGGTATCAAATGTGATGCCAAGTTCGGGGATGTGATCGAGCTAGATCTTAGCTTTAGTTGCCTTAGTGGCCAGCTCAATTCCAGTAGTAGTCTTTTTAGGCTTCCACAATTTCGTTTTCTAACCACTCTTGACCTTTCTAATAATGATTTTATTGGTCAAATCCCATCTTCACTTGAAACCCTCTCTAATCTCACCACTCTCGACATTTCTAGAAATCATTTCAATGGTAGGGTTCCTTCTTCACTTGGAAACCTTTCTCATCTCACCTTTCTTGACTTCTCTCATAACAATTTTAGTGGTCAAATCCCATCTTCACTTGGACATCTTTCGCATCTAACATCTTTCAACCTCTCTTTTAACAATTTCAGTGGTTGGATTCCTTCTTCGATTGGAAATCTTTCTAGTCTTACCAATCTCTGCCTCACTCGTAACAGTTTTGATGGTGAACTCCCTTCTTCACTTGGAAGTCTTTTGCATCTCACCTTTCTCATCCTTGATCGTAACCGTTTTTCGGGTGAAATCCCATCTTCACTTGGAAATCTTTCGCATCTCACCTCTCTCAACTTCCATCATAACAATTTTTTTGGTAAAATTCCATCTTCACTTGGAAACCTTTCTCATCTCTCATATCTTGTCCTCTCCGTTAACAATTTTGTTGGTGAAATCCCATCTTCTTTTGGTAATTTAAACGAATTAGCCATATTCGTCGTTGATTACAACAGCCTTAGTGGTAGCCTCCCCCTTGCACTACTAAACGTAACAAAACTATCAAAATTATCTCTTATTTACAATCATTTTACTGGAACTCTTCCTTCTAACATGAGCTCACTCTCCAACTTGGAGTTGTTTGACGCAACAGAAAATGATTTCATTGGAACTCTCCCTTCTTCTCTCTTCACCATTCCTTCTTTAGAAACTATTAGTTTGGTAAATAACCAACTCAACGGCACTCTTGAGTTTGGGAATATATCTTTATCATCTAATCTAACAGTCTTACGCCTTGGCAATAACAACTTTAGAGGGCCAATCCATAAATCTATTTCCAAATTAGTCAACCTTAAGGAGCTTGACATTTCCCATTGCAACACCCAAGGCTTAGTTGACTTTACTATCTTCTCGCAGCTTAAGTCGCTCGAACATCTCTACCTCTCCCATTTGAACACCACCACTACGATTGACTTGAATGCAATCTTATCAAGTTTTCAGTTACTAGATTCACTGGATCTTTCAGGCAACCATGTTTCTACTGCAAACAAGAGTTCACTTTCTGATTCTACATTGGTATTGATAAGTCGGTTGTACTTGTCGGGATGCGGTATCACCGAGTTTCCAGAGTTCCTAAGAACCCAAAAGCTTATGGTGACTCTAGACATTTCCAACAACAAGATCAAAGGTCAAGTGCCTAGATGGTTATGGTTTCTCCCTGTTTTGCAGTACGTGAATCTTTCCAACAACACTTTCATCGGTTTCGAAAGAATAACTAAACTTGGACTCTCCTCTGTCCAAGAACCAACTATAAGCAAGTTTTTTGGCTCCAACAACAATTTCACGGGCAAGATTCCATCTCTAATATGTGAGTTGCCTTATCTCAGCACTCTTGATTTGTCTAACAACAAATTCAATGGTTCAATCCCTAGTTGTACGGGATATCTCCAAGCTCCATATATTCAAGCTCTAAATCTTCGAAATAATCGTCTTAGTGGAGGTCTTCCAAAGAATTTATTTGAAAGTCTAATTTCCCTTGACGTCGGCTATAACCAACTAGTAGGAAAGCTTCCAAGATCGTTGATTCATATATCTTCTCTTGAAGTTCTGAATGTGGAGAGCAACAGAATCATTGATACGTTTCCTTTCTGGTTGAGTTCTCTACAAGAGCTACAAGTTCTAGTCCTTCGCTCAAATGCATTTCATGGATCAATAGAGCAAACCCAGTTTCCTAAGTTGCGAATCATCGACATATCCGGTAATCAATTCAATGGTACGTTGCCACCAAATTTCTTTGTCAATTGGACTGCAATGTTCTCGCTGGAAAACAATGAAGATCAATCTAACGGAGAGACCACGCCATTGTCTGAGTCAAAGTACATGAGTACAGACTATTACTACTTTGTTTCAGTGGTTTTGATGAACAAAGGTGTAGAGATGGAGCTGGTACGTGTCCTAAAAATCTTTACAGCGATAAACTTTTCGGGAAACAAATTTGAAGGAAAGATTCCAAATTCCATTGGTCTATTAAAAGAGCTTCATGTGCTCAACTTGTCAAACAATGCTTTCACTGGCCACATCCCATCATCTATGGGGAACCTCACCGCGCTTGAGTCACTGGACGTTTCCCAAAACAAGCTTTCAGGAGAAATTCCACAAGAGTTAGGGAAACTCTCGTACCTTGCGTACATGAACTTCTCACATAACCAGCTGGTTGGTCTATTACCAGGGCGTACTCAGTTTCAAACACAGAATTGCTCTTCCTTCGCGGATAACCAAGGACTTTTTGGCCCTTCACTTGAGAAAGTTTGTGAAGATATCCACGCGAGAACATCGCAACCAGGTGAAACGCCAGAGCCAGAGGAAGAGGAAGAGGAAGAAGAGGTGTTGAATCGGATAGCAGCTGCAATAGGATCCATACTTGGTACTGCATTTGGATGCATACTATTTTCCTACAAACCAGATTGGTTCAAGATTCCTTTTGTCCTAAACAAACGCAGAAACATAGGCACCAGAGTCATTAGAGAGGTAATGATCTTAATTTTGAAAGAATAAACTACATATTATACTAAACTTTTCTGGATATATGAACAAATGAAAGTAACGTATAATCTTTCTTTGTTTGTTAAGCATTCTTTGACTCAAGCTGAAGAATTCTAGAAGAAGAAAATAAAGAACCAAACCAGACGAAAGAATTCTAGAGAAAGAAACTTGGGAAGAAAGCAATCTAATTATAAATAATCTTGTTTTGCATATGAGACTTTCAGTCGCTAAACCATGTCAATACACCCACTATTTTGTAGTTTCAATTTAAAGTTTTATAACATA